AGCCAATCCCAGATGGACAAAGACAGCACTGGCTGCTTCGATCGCCGGCCCTGTTGGGTGGATGGCCATCTACCCCATCGAGCCATGGCTTACCACTGATGGACGATTTCACGCATGTTCTGTCCCAAATGTAAGGAACGCAGAATTTCAGCACTATCGCAACGATTGACGGCCAGGGGAGTGTAACATGGATGTATATATATATATGTGTGTGTGCGCATATATATCTCTCTCTGCACATATTATATGCATGTATATATATATACATATACACATTGATGCCCTCAACCCTAAACCCCTAAACCCTAAAACCCTAAACCACAAAACCCCAAACCCTCAGCCCCACGCCCCCAAGCCCCAAAACCCCTCAGGAAGTCGTCCGCATTCGCTTCCAGGGCGAGCAGGGCTGGACCTCTTACACGGAGGCTGGTTGGGGGAAACAAACTTAGGGGCCTTCATGATTAGAATCGGGTTTTTATGGGGCCCATTATACTATACTGCGTTTATGATAAGGAGCCCCCAAAATGGCATTGGTAATTATTTATTTCTAGGCCCCTATATTTCTGTTGGAAATTTGTGAACCGATGCTCGATCCCTTCAACCCTAAGGCCCGAAACCGAAACTGGCCCGAACCCCAGACGATGAATAGGGCCCTGTCTTCGAGATTGCAGCTCTGGGAAGTACCGGGAGCCCACTGAGTCCCCTTATTACGGGTATGGCTTTGGGCTTTGGGTTTAGGTTTAGGGTTTAGGGTTTTAGGGTTTAGGGTTTAGGGTTTGTTAGGTCTTGGACTATTGACCTTAGATTATAGGGTTTTTGGGGTTTAGGGGTTGAGGGTATGTCTTCAACTGCAAGCGCTTGGTCAAGCAGGTCTGCAAGCACATTTACGCACGCAATGGCTTTTCTGGCTTCTTCCTGGGCTTGGGCGCCTGAGCTGCCATTTCGATTTGGAACACCGTCTTAAAGGCCCAACATATCCAACAGCTTTCTTGACAATCCCAGTGAAAGGTTGTCTTATTCGGGACCCCGAACAATAGATGTTTTTGCTAGGGGACATTGGACTCTCTGGCAAGTCCAAACAGGTAGGACTTTGTTTTTGTGCGAGGCCGGAGCCACTAGTCACTAACCGCATCTCCAGCCATATGGAAGCATATGACATCCATCATGCTGAAGTTGCCATTGCGAATTTTGTGGTTGGTGTGCCTAACGACCATCATCGCTTCGGCGTTCCTCGCCAGCGTGCTGTGCTACAGACGGTCAAACTCGCATGAATCCCTGAACCCTAAACCCTAAACCCTAAACCACACATGACTTGAAGACGGAGGCTACTCATAGACCCCTAAGTAGTTCCTTTTTGGGGATTACCCATATAATAGGATTCTATATATAAACCATCAAAAGGAACTACTTAGGGGCCTATGGCTACTCCTGAGATTGTTTCAAGCTCCTGGGGTTCGCATGCGTTGTTCTTTTTGCTCCTGAGCCAAGGTACATGCTTAATTCGCTCAAGTTTTCAGATCTCCTGCACGCTTGTGATCTTCGAGTCCATGCGGGCATGGCGCTGAGGCGCGGCAGGAAGCTAAGCCCTAAACCCCAGACCTGAGTTAGACTGGAAGGTCGGAAGCTAAGTCTTAAACTCCTAAGAATAAGACCCTTAAGGTTATAAGGTCTGAAGCCAAAACCCTAAACCCTGAACCCTAAACCCTCAGCAGCCCAAAGCCCGAGGTTAAGAAAAGGTGGGTTTGGAGGAAGACTTCCGGAGCTCCTGGCGATCGGTTCTTGCAAGAAAGCTTCAGCTCTTGTTGACCCCGTAGGGTTTAGGGTTTAGGGCATTATAGTGGTCCTAATAATTGCATATATATATATATATACTGCCTATACTATTTTTGTGGGTTCCTTGTTGTAATTAGAGTACAATCTACCCCAAGACCCTGTTTGAATTACTATTGAATTAAGGCCCCTACAGTATTTCTGTGAGACTCTGTGTTCGCTCTGGCAACAACCCAAGGTTTAGGGTTTTAGGGTTTAGCATTCATCTGGGTTCGGGGTTTAGGGAGTTTAGGGTTTGAGGGTTAAGCTGCTACGGATTTAGAGAGTTTGGGTTTAAGCCCCACCCCCTAGAACCGACACCGATGCTTCCCGGGTCGCCGGGGCATGTTGCACGCACCATCTTTGGCCCGGGATTCTGCGATGCTTGCACTCTAGACTTCAGGTGTTTCGGGTTCCTGACACTGAGTCCGAGAACAGAAGCAGAAGAGGCCCAAACCGCAGAAGCCCAACAGAAAGCCAGAACCCTACGCCCTGAAGCCCCAAAATGCCCAAACCACAAGCCTAGTCCATGATATCCCTAAACCCTACGCCCTGTGCCAACCCTCGACCCTTTTCCCTAAACCCTAAAACCCCAAACACATCATCAGCCCAACAGGTAGATTTCAAGAGACAGCCGGACTGTGGGTTCCGGAGTGCAGGGCTTTGTATGTTTCTGTCTCTACAATATGATGTAGGGTTTAGGGCTTGGGGTTTCGATGGGTTTAGGGTTCTGGGTGTAGGGTTTAGGATAGCTTAGGGCTTGGGATGCAGATTCCACTGTCGATGTGTGAAGTGAGAGCCTGTCGCAGCTTCGCTTTGCTCCAGGGTGCACCCTCAAAAGAGGACAGAAGCAGAGCCATTCGTTTTCCATGCAAACGTCTTGGGACGGAATTTGCTACGGCTTGCCGTGTGCAGTGCCTGCAAGTGTTTTTGGGACGATTCGGCAACTGAAATACAAACCTTCGCAAGGGTTGTTGCAGCGTTGCACGTCGCAGGCAAGTACGGAAACCCTAATCAGTTGTTCACGCACGTATTATCGACAACTATGCTGCGATTGTGAGCTATGCAACACCTCAGCGCTAAAGTCAACCACGGATTCGGAACTTGAAGCTCTCATGCTTAGATTTAGAATTTAGCCAGGCCGCAGAGATTTCGCCAGCAGTGCGGATTCGCCCCACTTCTCTCTTCTGCCGACGTAGTGCCAGCTCTTCTGGAGCTCTGCGACGAAAAAAGCTTCAAACCTCCTCCACCTAAACCCGTACGAAGGCAAAAACACAAAAGAGTGCTGAACCTAAGCACAGCGTGTCGGCGTAAGTGACCCGCACGGTGGTAGAAGAGTTATAGAGATCTAAGATCAGTACTGCCACCCTTTAAGGTTCCTATTTTGCTTGTATCTCTCTACCACCGACCACAGCATGAAGACCGGATCTCTCTTTGACAGGATTTGCCATGCGAATACCAATGGCATAGAGTCATAGAATGGTGTTCTTCGCATTGCCATCAGCACCGTCACGTTCGTCATCAACGGAGTTTTCAGACCAGACATAGACGAGGCCTGCCGCACACCTCAGTTGGATACGGAGGGCCGGGTCGGGCTTTCTTCCGTTGTGATTTGTGATGGGTCGCACTCATGGTCTGAAAATCTAAAGTTCTAAACTTCGATGGACCCTCAACCCTAAACTCTAAACCCTAAGCATTAAACAGGAATCACGCCTGAAAAAGCAGCTTCGCAGCTCCAGACATTTGAGCCGCGAGTTGCTCCCAGTCACCCTGGAAGCTCCTACATGGAAGGCTAGAATAGCTAGCAAAACTGTTTTGGGGGGTTCCTTGTTATAATCATAGTATCGTATACCCAAAGACCCTCTTCTAATTTCACAAGGCCGCCATATTACATGAGCTTCTTGCTCAAGGAGGGAGGGCATGTTCGTGTTGTCGGGTTTTAGGGTTTAGGGTGCCTGAACCCTACACCCTAAACCCGTGCTGAGGGATTAGGTTGTGAGTTTGGAATAGCCTCTCTCTGTCAATCCTGCTGGGGTTCAGTACTGGTGCGAGGGAGCCCACTAAGTAAGGGTCATGTTCAGTGAAGAGCACCCTACTATGGTTTGAGGGGCCTTAACAATTCGAACAGGGGCTTCTTTGGGTCGTCTTAGAGTCGTAGAATTCTATCAAGGAGCCCTCAGGAATAACATTCGCAATCATTCAAGCCTCCATACTACGCAGTGAGCCCTAGGAAAACAACTGAACCCGTTTCGAAGACTTGCGTGAAAGTATTGGATTGTTCGACCGAGTCCCGGGGCTCTGACTCGGTTCTTGGTGGGGGATGATCGTTTCAATGTTTTAGACCCTATATATATATATACATACATACATACATACATACATACTGTAGAAGTTATGGTAGGCCAAGGTGGTGATTGTCATTCCTGCTCCAAACGTGAACTTTCTATGACAACTCAGTTTGTTGGCTAGTTGTTTGTAAGGCCTTATCTGTTTTGGTTCTCACTGAAGATGGTCCTGCTGTTGAATTCTTGGTTCTAGTATGGATATGATTCGCGACCTCGAGGAATACCTCATGGGGTCAGCTGCAGGGGCTTAAACATCATGTCGGCCAATCCGCATCGCAGGCTTGTGCACACCAGCATGCGAAAGCGCTGCTGCATGACTCGCCCACTCTAGACCCTGCTCCGAACTCATAACCATGAAACCCAGACCCGAAAACTCCTCAACTAAGCATCCCTAAACCCTCAGAGCAGTTCTCACTGCACAATAGGGCTAGTTCAAAGGCTGCAAAGACAAGAAGCATCCGAACACAGAAAAGCTCCAGGAGTATCCTCAGCGCCGATTCTGTGGCATAGCTTCTGGAAGCACTCCTAGACTCTGACCCTAAACCCCGAAACCCGAAACCGGACCCCGAGAGGAAGCATTGTTCCGGACGCCATGGATTTCGCCTCTGGTTGGGCTGGTGGTGTCATTGGGACGTTGCTGCTGCATCCACTCGAAGCTCGACCTTGAAAGCTCATGTGCATGCACCATGTAAGCTTTAGACCGTCTAAAGCCTGAAACTCTTGTTGTTTACCTAAAGCACTCAACGCCCAATGCAATGCTCTTCGTCGCAGTTCCGAGACTACGTGACTACAGTTTAAGGCTTTCGGGGTTCTGGTCGGAGCGCCTCGAGAACTCCTCCGACCGAGGACACGTTGCGCACGCGCCAGGCGCTCAACGGCGATCCCCTGACTCAAGCACTGAGGCCAGGAAGTGTAGACGCGCACATTCACATTAACGGGCAAGCGTAAGTGTCTGGGTACGTACGCCTGTACATCTACCGGTACACTATTGTAGCAAGTATACATTGACATTCATTGACAAGTGCAGACACATGTGAGTTTAGGAGGAAAGACGAATAGTTGCGTTTAAACACCGTATAACCTTTGCAGTTGTTTCTTCTGTCGTGTCTCTGTAGGTTCGAGTCTGCATTCTCCGCTCCCTGCTACATGCATCCCTATCAACCATTCCGAACTCCCCTGATCCTGCAAGTAGTAGGGGCCTGGGTATCCCTTCACAGACAGAGCCCATTAAAGAACCCGAAAAGACATGCTTTTCTAATAATAAAGGCCCACATTTCAGGGTTTAGGGTTTGGGGCCCCTCTAGTACTCAACTCAAAGCCAGTCGGCAGGGCGATCATCCGCAGCGAGGGCGTCGGCTCGCTGTACAGCGGCGTCATGAGCCCATGTTTGCATCTCGGTGCATCGACGTAGCAATCAGGGTTGTGAAGAGTAAAGGGATTGCTTTCTAAATTAGGGTCCCCTTGAGGGTCCTTTTTGTAAGGATGCCGTGCTATATTGGGGACCTAAACAGGGAACCTCAGTTTGGAGAACTGCCCATATAGTAGGTCGTAGCAGGTAAGCGTTTCGGGTTAAGGCCTAGAGTTTCGGGCTCTAGTCGTGGTGAGGGAAGCAACAAAAGAGGAGTGTTCTTCAGTCGCACTAGTTAGTGTGAGGTGTGCAGGTTGTACTCGTCACATTCCGACCCCCCCCCCCCCACCCAAGTAATTAGCACATAATCATCAAGAGTGATGAGTTGAGGCAAAAGCCGTTCACTATTTCTGATGCTCTTTCTTGCCATTGGTTAAGGGCATTCGTTGTTCTCAGGGCTTTTGACAATGCTTTTTCAGGACTGTTGTCCTCAAATGTCCGGAGATGGGTGCCTCAAAGGGCCTGCAGCACGTAGAGTCAGCAGAAGAGCCTTATGGGAGTTTCCGACAATTAGGGTACCTTATTTTGGGGTCTATTAGGGTCCCCTATTTTCGGAAACCCCCTTATGCCGTGGCATGCACCAAGGTTCACGGGCATCTGGAAAGGAGCCCGATCGACCACCGCCGTCCCAAAGCCCACAGCTACAAGCCCAAACAGACGGACCCTAAGCCCTAAGCCATAAGCACGGACCCTTCAATCAGCAGGCTTGGTTTAGAGCTTTTGGAATGCGGGGTCTGCATCTGCAGATGGAGTGGTTAGCGATGGGAAAGGTTGCTTGCTCTCAGCTTGCGTGACCAAATTAAACTTACGAAATTCAGACCAACTTCTCCGGTTTTTTGGTTCCAAACCGGGTAAGCATCTAACCCCTACGTGAGCCACTTTTGCAACTTGGCTTTTCTGCTCCCGACCCTCCAGATCTCTTTATCCAAAACTGGCCCTCGCAACCCTGACCGGTAGACCGTAACTAGCCTTTAAAAACACCACACCCTCCAGTAATTGATCCTGAAAGCCCGAACGCCCTACACCCTAAGCCTCCCTTGTAGTGCTTACAACAAACTAGCCATTACCACTGTAGGTTCCTTCTCCTTACGCCCCAAAACGAATCCTTATGATGACCCCTCTAGTATAGCCATCAATCCTGTAGACTCCTTAAGCCCAGTCCTCTGAACCCTAACAGTCCAAAACAAAGCCTTTGCCGACTTTGGACACCCGCTGTCGGAGGAGTGACCCTCTTCACGCACAGACAGCTCCAACATCTCCTAGCCAGGCGTGGTCCTTCTAGCTGGGCATGTACAGTGCTCATCTAGAGGACCCTGGATTAAGAAGCCCCCTTCTTGATCATGCTTTTGGCTTTTGGGGGATACTACTTATACCGTTTTCAAGCACAGCTTAGAAAGAGGCTATTCACGATAAGCCTTAAGCACCGCCAGTAGAAGCCACGATTGCAAAGTCAGTGCTGACGGTGCAAGTGTAAATGAGCAAGAGGAAGAACCATGGTGTTCAGTATAAGAGCATAAAGCCCTCCTTAACGCCCGTTTTGTCCTTACTTACAAGGTCTGAGTCCCATGTCAGGAGGTGCCCTGAAGGTTCATTCCGCTAGTCTCGGTCGTCGATGATGCAGACCTAGCACAGTATCTGCATTGATGTCAGCGAAGTATTGTTATTCCCATTAGCTTTGAGAGGCTCTTGAAACACATAAAATGTTGCGCCCCGCCGGGCGTGGGAGCACGAGGCTGTGGAGGGAGAGAGGCTCTTTAAAGGGGCGTGAGGGTGATGCGTCCTGGGGCGGGCGCTGTGGAAGGAGATATGCTCTTGAGTGGGGTGTGGGCGTGGTGTGTCCCGGTACTGTGGAGGGAGGGGGGAGGTTGTATGTCGTACAGCAGAAGTCAGTGGAACTTTGTAGTGGTATAGTGTCAGCACAGTGTAGTTCAGTAGAGTAATGTACAGCAGCAATACAACAATGCAGTAGTGCAGTACTAGTGCTGTAGTCGGAGTACAGCAGTGGTACAGAGGCGCAGTAATGGGTTTACGAGCGTTTACAGGGGTTTTGGAGGATTGGGGTTTTTTGGGGTGCCCGAAAATCTCGAAACTAACCCCCGATCCATTCAAGGTAATTACCACGATCAAAAAAACTCTTCGTTTTGAAGACTTTTTCCATCCTACGCCTTCGAAGCCTCCGGTAAAATGAGACGTCTCGGGCCTTTTGCTATCCTCTACTCGCTTCAGACTGACCACTAGCAGCGTCACTAGCAGGAAGGACAACGCACACACAAAAACCTGAGCGATTCCGGTTCGCAGTATGGAGGATACCCCCTCAAAATTGCCACAGCATGTTCCGCCTAAGCCCTTTCGGTACTGGTATTGGGCCTCGTCCCTCAGGCACCGTGGCTTCGACGTTGCCTCGCAGCTGACAGTCTTGGCCGCCCGGTTCATCGGTTCTTGCATACATGTGCAGGTGTAGGTGTAGGCGCATGTATGTATGTATGTATGTATGTATGTATGTATGTATGTAAGTACGTGTATGTATGCATGTAAGTAGGCAGGCAGGTAGGTAGGTGCGCAGGTGGGTATGTATGGTACGTAGGTATTTGGGCATGTCTGCATGCAAAGATGTATGTATGCATGGACGTAAGCAAGTAATGTATGTGCGTATGTGTGTATTTATGTATGTACGTCTGTTTGTACGTATGTATGTATGCGTGTACTCATGTATGTAAGCAAGGTTTGCGGTCTAGGGTTTCAGGGTTCGAGAATTTACTACTACCTAGCTAAGACCGGGCCCTAGACCCTAAAACCCCTAAAACCCCTAAAACCCTAAGACCCCTAAAACCCCTAAACCCTTAAACCCCTAAAACCCCTAAACCCTACATGAACCCTAGATCCGGACCCAGAAGGTCGAGACGATCAAGTCATGGCTTCACACTGTTGGGAATGGGGGACTTTAAGGGTTTTAGGTTTTAGGGTTTCAGGGTTTTAGGGTTTAGGGTTTATGGTTCTTGCATGTCCGCGAAGCAGCGCTGTTGCTGTCCAGCTTCATTTCCACGGTGTCTTTCCTCTTCATCCTTGAACTATGAATGTGCCTGCTGGATTGCAGATCTCTTTGCAAGTACAGCAGGCTAATAAAGAAATAGCAGGATCCTTTATAAGGACCTCTAATCCTTGGGTTCTCCCAGGAGGTGGCTTGCTGTGCCAGCGTCGCCGGAGCAGTTGGTGGCGCGGTGCTGGCACCTGCAGAGCTCATCAAGAGTCGGTCCCAGATTTGTGGCCCGGCTCGTGTGGGTCTGGGGTTTATAGGGTTTGCTATGGGCTCCTTAGTAGTTCCTTTTGAGGATTGCCTTATAGGATTCTAAATATGAACCACCAAAAGGAACTACTTAGGAGCCTATGGGTAAAGTTTCGGACCAGGGGTTTAGGTATGGTCTTCCCAGCCAGCCAAATTACCCCCCATAAACGCGGATGACACCTGGAAGCATCGGTTCATAGGATTGCATAGATATGCAACTGTGTCGAACCCGGCAGAATTATGAATTTTGCGTGAAGACTCGTCTGAATCAAAAACCGCGTTCAAACTTTCATTAAGCCCACTATGAGACATGTTCAGGAACAGCTCTGGAGTTTTGAATTGAAATCACGTTCAGTTTTTGAACCCGCTAGGAGACATGTTATGTAAAAAAACCCTGGAGCTTGGATCCCTGAGGTTCGGAGCCGCACAGCTCGCCCTTCCAGAAGGAGCTGAACCAGGTGGGCGAGGAGTCGAAGATTTGCCCTAAGGCTCAAAATAGCCCAAAAGCCTTATATAGTATCGTCTTTGGGCTCAAAAGCCTTAAGATATGAGTCTTTAGAGCCTTAGGGTTAAACAAAATCACATAGTCTCAGCTTTTTTGGGGCGGTAAAACAGAGCAATCCTAAGCCCTATAAACCCTAATCCCAAAGTCGTCCCGACTGGGATCTCTTGCCCTGCGAGTTGGAAAAAAAGAGGCGGTTTCTAAAAAAAAAGCTACAAAGACGTGAGCCCTATGCCCTATACCCTGACGTTGAATCCTAGGCCCGAGCCTCAGATCCCCCGAAGCTGACAAACCCTGCCAGGTGAGAGATAAAAGCCCTCGTAAAGATCCCTTACATGCATGCATATGTGTGTGTATGTATATACAGAGAGAGAGAGAGAGACTTAGATATACACATACACACGTACATACATAGCTATAGATAGATGGATCGATAGATAGAGCCCTTTAAAAGAATCTCCAGGAGAGACCCTAAACCCTAAACCCTTAAACCCTAAACCCTTAAATCCTAAACCCTAAACCCTTAAACCCTAAACCCTGAGCCTTCAATCTGCATTAAACCCCTAACCCTGAGGTGAGGGCCCTCTTTCGCCCGGGAGCCTCGCCCAGCCGAGCCTGCCGTGGCCTTCCTCTCTTGCTGCTCAGGGACGGCCCCGCAACCTTTGTAGGCTCGGTGGTCTTAGGGCTTCAGGGTCTTGTACATCGAGGCCGCAAAACCCTAAACCCTAAACCCTAAACTTAAACCCTAAACTTAAACCCTAAACCCTAAACCCTAAACCGTTTAGGGTTGAATAGTTTGTTGTTGAGGGGCGGGGATATTAAGTTGTGGGGTCTGGGACTTCAGTGTGTATGGATGGTTTAGGGATTCATGGCTGTAGGGCTAAGGGTTTGGGCATGCTAGCAGTCTGGGTTAAGAGCTCAGGGATGTGGTGCATCGAGATAAAAGTTGCAGTAGGGTTTGGGTCGGGTAGGGCCCATTTAGGATCAGATACGGAAAAGATTCCTTCGATCCATCATAAGGTCAAGGGTTCCTTTAAGGGATCTTTACGGGTTGCCTTAAGGAACTGGGGGCCGGGGTTTGTCCTCGTGGCTAATAAATGGTGTTTAGTTTAGCTCGCTTTCTGAGCTTGGAGACTTTTAGCCTTTGGTGCTTGGTCTAAGCCAGCAAATCAAAAAAACCCAAAACCCTGAGCCCTAAACTCTATAAACCCCAAACCCTAAATCCAAAGTTCTTAACCCTAAATTCGAAACCCTGAACCCTGAACCCTAAACCCTGTACCCCAAAGCTCTGGGCCTTCAGATCTGGGGTGCTATGAGCTGGTGAAGCGGTATGGGCAAGCGCGCGACTGGCCCTGGCGGCTCGCTGTTTTGGAGACACCTAGGGCCCCAAGAACCTCCATCAAATCTGCACACCCAAACATCGGGGCTTAGATAATAATTACCAATGATATTTTGGGGGTTCCTACTTATAATTACAGTAGAATATACCCCAAAAACCTATTCTTATTATTAAGGCCCCTATATTACGGCCGAAACCCTCATCCTTGCCAAACCCTATACGCCCCTAATCCCTAAACCCTTTGAGCCCTAAACCCTGAGCCCGATTAGCCCCAAACCCATTTCTTGGGTGCTTATCATCCTACCCTAGTCCAACGGTAGGTAGCGCAATCATCCTAGCATTATCCAAAGGTAGTAAGGTGGGAGTTAAATTTCTTTGGGTTAAAAAAAATCTCCTCCCTGCATGTCCCGTTATCAGCACCTCTAGGAGCCAAAAAGAATCTGAAGGACTCCCCAGACAGACCGGACTCTTGATTCGGAATGCAATCTCAGCCCCAAGCCCAGGTATCTCTCATCGGCAGCTGCTGGCATTCTGGCGGCTCCAGCTGGCTGGACCTCCATCTACCCTATCGTGCCCCGGCAATTTTTTCTGGGATCCGAACTTCGGTTCTAACGTTCGCAGAATATGAGGGTCCTTCAGTACATCAGGGGGCACCCTGCATCTTTGTGTCTATACTCGGGTTTCCGGTTTCTGAGACTTGCATAGTTCTAGACACTCGCGGCAGGATGGCGACCAGAGAGCATATTGCACTCTGTAGAAGCCGATTTCAAGACAATCCCGACACTCCCCCGTAGGCCCTCACTGCTGGCCTTTCTTTGCCTTCTGGATCTGGCGTTGATCCCCAACTTTATATACGCATGGAAACGAGCCGGACGGTGCGCCCAACATGAGCTCTTAGCCAGTGTCCACATGCCCGGTTTGAGCGGAGGCTTGCAGATGTTGGAAGAAAATACTGCCAGTGTGGTGTGTGGTGAGGGGCTTGGATATGAAATCCTCGACCGTGTTGTTCGGAGGTTCGGAAACCGTCTTGTGGGGGACTGCTCACCCTCAACCAAAGAACATTGCTGTTACGACGACGCTATCGCATGAGCAAGGCCCGCGAGTAGTGGCACTAACACCAAGACGAGCAGTGTTTCTCACCTGAGTCAGTCAGCATAGTGTAGCAGGCGCACGCATGCACTTGGTGTTAGTGAGGATGCCAACCGAGGAAATCATCCGCATTCGATATCAAGGCGAATTGCGCTGGAATACGTACGGCGAGGTGGCCAGACACGTCTACGCGACTCGAGGCGCGGGTTCTTTACAGCTGTCCTTGTTTTCGTGATCTCCTAGTTGAAGGGGCTCATGAAGGGGATCCGCTATCTTCAGCAGTGCCTTCACCGAAAGCCCTGAGCAACCCGAATCCGTCCCAGGCGTGTCTGGCTTCTTCCTTGGCTGGAGGACCTGTTTATTGCGACTTGCCTCATCGGAAGACTCGATGTGAGGGGCTTTTTGAAGGGATGAGCGTGCAGGGTTTCGTGTCTGGAATGATTTGAAGAAGCTCCTGTTGTTGCTCCTGCTGCAAAAGACGGCATGTATACTTCAAGTTTGTAAGCCCTATAAACCCTAAACCCCAAACCCAAGGACTTTGGAGTGTAGGAGTGGGCAAGTGACTTACTTGAATTCGCAAAGGCCTTCAAAAATCCTGGACCCTAAAACTCTGAAGCCTCAGCCTACTAGGGACCTACCCTAGGTGCAGAATACAACTCTGTGCCTCAACCTGTTAGAATCCCTGTCCTGGGCCAAGCTCCAACCTAGAAGCTGTGGGGCCCCGGATCATAACATCAAGTGCTCTAGGCGTAGCAATAGTAATAATAACAATAGTAGTAGCAGTAGTAGTAGTAGTAGTAGCAGCAGCAGCAGCAGTAGTAGTAGTGGTAGTAGTGGTAGTAGCAGCAGCATTAGCAGCAGCAGCAGCAGCAGCAGCAGCAGCAGCAGTGGCAGTAGTAGCGGTCGTAGCAGTCGTAGGACATAGGAGTCGTCAGTAGAGCAAGTAGCATAGTAGCTGTGGTGGTGGTGGTGGTGGTGGTGGTGGTGGTGGCGGCGGATGTTGTTTTTAGGGTTGGATGAGGAGTTGGATGTCGAACCAGATCCAGCATGGACCCTTGGTAAAGTAGCTGAGCAAGAGGATGCTTTCAACATGGCCTTCAGATACTAGATTTATGAATAGCACCCTTTTGCCCTTTGTTGGATAGTTCCCTTGTTAAAGCAACAAGAAAAGAGTGTACCCTGATTATTACTTAGGGGTCACTCAGGAACCTAGATACCGTCACTCTCCATGACAGCCTGCAGGCATGCCGGCCTGCGGAACGTTTGCGTCATGGTGGTGTATGAGCTCTTGAAACCCAGAGAACCCAATATCCCTTAATTCAGGGATATACCTTAAATCATACTATTAAGGCCCCTATAATTTTAAGGTATATTCCTTAATTAAGGGGTGTTGGGTTCTCTGGAAACCCCACCCCCAGCGACGCCAAAAGACTCCTTAGTTGAAGAAATCGTTTCGATTCCGATAGAGATTCTCATCTTTAGGGAGTTCACTCCAAGCTTCGTAATCCTAAACCCTAAACCCTAATAGCCCTTTAAAACAACCCTAATAGCCCAATAATGCGACTTTCCTGTAAAGAGAGCGAGACATTATGGAGTCTCTGGCCAGCCTGGAGGGTTCACCTCAGGGGGTCGTTTTTTTCCGCTATTTTCCATGCGCTGCCCTGGCACATCGTTTTGAGGCGTAGGCTGTGGCTCTGAGAAGCGAGGGTTCGATTCAGTTTTGTACTTCGGCTCTCTAACATTAAATTATAGGGCCCTTAATATTATGATTTAAGGTATATTCCTTAGTTAAGGGGTATTGGGCTCTCTGGGTAACTCTGATGTGCTGGGTTTGACGCATTGGCGGACGTGGCCGTTCCAAGGCCATGGCGTCCTGAGCCCTGAACTTTTATCTTCCCAAACCCAGATGGATAGTTATCTAAATTGGGGTCCGCTTTTGGATCCCCTATGCAGTACGGCACCCTTATAAAAAGGAACCTAAAAGGGACCCTAATTCAGAGAACTACCCATATGTATGCTGTCTACAACTTACCCGACAATGTTCCCAGTTCGTCTGTTCTACGGCGCGCTGTTCAAGTCCAAGTTTGCAAGGCCGTGTCTGCGAGACCACGTATCATCAATAGTGCTAGTAATCTAGTAATACTAATATATAGTATCTAAAATATATAGTACCCTAAACCCTAAACCCTAAACCCTAAAAGTTATCAATGGTGAGAAGAGTGATCATGCAGGGACCGGCCGCTCGGTAGGTTTGAGGTCAGAGCTTCTAGGCTTCGGGGCTATCGCTTTTTTTTTGGGGTTTCATTTCTTCGGCTTCAGCTAGACCCTAAACCCCTAAACCCCTAAAGCCCTAAGCCCCTAAACCCTCAACCCCTAAAGCCCTAAACCCTAAACCCTAAAGTAGCGGTAGATAGTTTTCTGAGACCCGGCTTAGCAGGAAGCCCTCAGCCTTTCCTCCTCCCTCGCAGCCCTGCATGCTGTTAAGGCCGCAAACCCGAAACCCTGACCAGGAAGCCTAGATAGTCTATATTATGTGTGTATATATATATACTTATAATATATATATATATGTATATATATATGTAGTATATATATATACACATACACGATCTATACCATATATACTATGTATGCTATACAAACCATATATATATATACATACTATATATATATATACTATACTACTATGTGCTTCATTATCACCTATTCAGAGCTCCTTTGAAGTAGGCCCTCTGCGTAACCTGGAAGGCTCTGTCAGCATAGGCCCTACACTCAGTCATCATACCTGCAGTAGTTTCAATCGAAAGCACTGCAAAAGCAGTTTGAATCGAAAGTACTACGAAGGAACCCGAGCTTGAGCGTTTCGACCCGCGAGCCTCTTCGGGACGCCTGGTAGTGCCTCATGTTCTGCCCGTCGTACCAAAATCACACATGCGAACAGGATGTGCCGAGAGTAGCACACACGAAAAGCTAACATCAAACAAAAGCTTGTCTTAGCCAGCGTCTGGAATTTGAGCCCAGAATTACATGCCTCCGACTACTGAGGGGGTTTATGTCGGGTAGAACCTTGAATCGCAGCTGCAGACTCAACTCCGGCTGCCCACGTTTCCAGGCAGCTCGTCGCGACGCGGTACTGTCTCGATTTGGGGGTTTCCGAAAATGGGACCCTAATATAGTACCCCATATAGTAGGATCCTTACTATAAGGACCCCAAAATAAGGTACCCCTTACTTTCGAAACTCCCATTTGGGGACGGTGCGTTTGGAGACAGGGTCAGAGAACCCTGGCCTGAGACAGGCTGCAACGGCTGAACTCTTTTCGGGCATCCATGTCAACAAGAGGAGCCCAGCATCGGCGGAAGATGGGATCATTCGGCCATGGTGCCAAGGGAGGAAAAAGTGCAAGGTGAGCTAGGTCGCGGTTCTGCTCCGTCAGGCTATGAGAGTTGCATGGATCATGGTGGATGCACGTGCAAGCTGCAGACACTGTGAAACCTACACTTACAATCCGTGGATGTAATCAGTAATTCTGGCTTACTGGCCATAGCCATAGATGTGTAGCTTAACATGAACTTGTGGCTTCACGGCTGTAAGGTACCTAGTTTGGTAGTGGTTTCGTGAAACGAAACGCCTCGCAAGGCACTCTAATTCATTACGGCAGCGACCTTCCTTTGTTTTGAGGTCGCGGCTTCCGTTGCTACCAGGTGGGGACCTAGCGGAAAGGCTTCGCAGGTCCAGGGGTAGGTGGTTCCGATGTTTCAGCAGCTTGAGCCCCATCTTGGGATCCGAGAATTGCAGGCGTGGATCGGAACTTCGCCACGTATAGACTCGACAAGTCTGCGCCGGATCAATGAAAGCCCTATAAGACTACTTTTGCCTTACAAGGGGGCCGGAGCCGAGGCCTCATCAAGAGTCTTTGGCGTGATGTTCAAAGGGGTCCCGGCTCACGCCGTCGTCCTCCTTGCTAGCAAGTACACAGTTCCCAATATCTCGGAAGCTTCCTCCTCGGAGCTTTACGATACTAGTGAGAATTAATAACAGTACTGATAATACCGTAGTATTGATGCTGCTACTACTATTTTTAATATGAATAAGATACATAGTAATAAGAAGAAGAATTATGACAATAAGTCACGGGACCCAAGGCTTGCCTGGAAGCCCACAGCATTGACTGCTCATCAAAGAACCCCCCGCAGCTTCTTCTTAGCATTTCTATTGTTAGTATTATCATCATCATCATCTTCTTATAGCTATTGTTGTTATGTAGGGATCAGTAGAGGTTTCAAGCAGGGTACCTGCGATCGTGTTTTTAACTCGCCAACTTACCAAGTGCCCCTTCTTCCTCCGACAGAGGCAAAAGCCGTAAAGCCCAACACCCAACAGCCCCAATCCCTGGGACGGCGTAACCCCTCAAAACAAAGAAGGCCCCAAACCCTAAACCCTAAATTGGCCCTAAAGCCTAAACGGGCCAAAGCCCTGAAAAACAGGCACCAAACAAAAAGAGCTAAGCCTGCCAGGGGCTGGGAGGGTCTCGTTTGGACCTTCGCCAACTTCCCCCTGCTGGGCACTGAGGGCGGCCAGGCTCTTGGGGTTTTTAGAGGGTTGGTATAAGAGGTTTAAAGGCTGGTATAGGGTTTTGTTACGTTTTGCGGGGTTTCGATGTTGATACTACTTCTTCAACTTTCTGAAAGGTCGATAGAGATTTCATGTGGCGAACTTGCGTCAGGCCAACCCTGACACATCCAAACAGGATATAGTGATGCCCTTTAGACTAATCATGGCGTTGAGGGCCTCGGAGTTATGGCCAATGCCGAAAGGAGCACTAGAGGGCAGTGGTCGTCGCAGTCGTTGCGCCCATGCCACAGATCCTCCACTAATTATCCGAAACTCCCAAGCTCGTTGAAGCCAAAAACCCCGACCACCCCTCCCTAAGCCCTAAGCCCTAAAGAAGCCCTAAATCCTAAACCCTAAGCCGGAAGCCAAAAAAGCCCTAAAGCTCCCGAAGCCCTGAAAGCCCCAGATCCGAAACACGGCGAGCCCCGCCCTCGATGCTGTACTCAAAACCCAAAAAGCCTCCCTGAGGACCCAAGTACCTAATAATCAGATGGGATAGTTGGGGTTTAGGGTTTAGGGTTTGGGGCAAAGTACCTAAGTATTGGGTCCTTTGCACCAGACTCGTTTCAAAGCCCTGAAACCCTGAA